CTGCTCGTCGCCAACGTCGCCGAGGTGCTGCTGCTGCTCTGCGGTCTCGGTGTGCGCGACGCGGATGAGGAGTCGGTCTTCCCTCTTGCGCCCGTTGGTATCCTGTGGGTCAACATGGTCACCGCTTCGCTGCCGGCCATCGGACTGGGTCTGGAGCCAGGCGAGAGCGACATTATGGAACGCCCGCCTCACGACCTGCGCGCGGGCGTGTTGAGCCGAGCCGTCGTCGTCGACACGCTCGTTTACGGTGTCTCGATGGGCATCACGTGTCTGGTGGCCTTCCTGCTCATGATCTACCCCATCGGTGGCGGCAACATTGCGATCGACTGCAACCACTCGTCGGCGGCGACGTGCGAGCCCATCTTCCAGGCGCGTTCGGCCGTGTTCACCGCGCTGACGCTGCAGCTCTTGCTCATCTGCTGGGAGCTGATCAGCATGGAAAAGTCGTTCTTCAGCATGTCGCCCGCCAAGCACCTGTGGAAGAACCCCATGCTGCTCTGGTCGGTCGTGTTCGGTGTGGCCACGATCCCCATCGCGCTGTACGTGCCCAAGTTCAACACGGACGTCTTCCGACACGCCCCCATGGGTGGTGCTGGGTGGGGTATCGCCATCGCCATGACCGTCGCCTTCATCGCCATTGTGGAGACGTGGAAGGCCCTCGCGCGCCGAGGCCGCTGGCCCTGGCTCGCCAGGATCTCGGGCGGTCAGCGAGGCCTCGAGCGCCGCCTGGCCAAGAAGCGCGTGCAGGAGGAAAAGACGTCCACCAAGGCCTAATGCCCCCGATCGCTACCGCCAACCAAGACTCTTTGAGCAACAGCTCTGGCATTTGTGTTCAACCACGTCTCGTCGGAAGCCCTCTTTTGTGCCTCCATCTTTGCTCTTCCTTCTCCACCTCACTGCTTTCATCATCGTATTCGATTCTCTAGCACGCTGGTTCCTGCGTTCGTCGAATCTAGCTTTCTTCATCCTCTCCTTGTCGAATCTAGCTTTCTTCAAAGGATCACAGCGGCGCAAGGAGAGGATGAACTGCTTGCTGTGTCTGTCGTGAGCCTGAATGTATTCGGTGCGCCTTCATCCGACATCCGGCCGGGAGAATGGAGGTGAAGCGTGGGGCGCTACCTGGGATGGCCTGACTCAGCAGCGTGTGCCTGCCCGCGAAGCCAGGTCAGACCAGCATACTGGGCGTTTCGGATCGGCGTATGACACGTTCCGAACGCCATTCCGTCGCGGGACGTGCCTCATACTAAAAATGACTCAGCGATGAGGCGGTGGTCTGTGGTTACGGAAGGGCGGTGCCGTCTCGCGTGCGACTGCACAAAGGCGCTCGATATGACGACACGCTGCAAGACACACGGTGATGCTGATGCTCAGGTGGAGGTTTGAAGCACGAACGCGTCATTTCGGCCTGAGCTCGCATGCGACGGGTACCGCCTAAAATAAAATGCAGGGGGACTCAGGCCTGCAGCTTTGCCTTCGTGAGAGAGAGAGCCGAGCCAGGGTCGCGGAAAGGGTTGCCTGACGGCTACTTTGTCGGGTGCATGCTACCAAATTTAGCCTTCCCCAAACACGGCCACCGACTTG